AWTWRRRGRARKTTTTTTTTTAATCAAGCCGTTTCCATCCACCTTTTCTGATGCGATACTTCAAAATGCGMATTAAAAAATCTTGATGGAAACACGGCTTTTGAAGGATCAGAAAGCGAAGGAATCTGCTGAGCAAAACCAATGGTGCATAAATAAACCAACAAAACAAAGGGCTTTATTACGTAAACCRTGGCATTATCTTTGCTCTTTGATAAATCTTTCTTATCACAATGTTACCAGTCTATGTACCTGCTTCACACAAAAATGAATTATGTTTCAGAAGATAAGGCTAACAAAGTAAATGACTTAATGGTCTTATCGCTGACGACTGCAGCCAGATATGGGCGGGCAGAGTGCACAAACCTGCACACACACTAACATACAAGGAGGGCAAACACAAATCCCGAACATCACAAAAAGGTTTCTCCGTCTTGTGTTTGCCCGACCCCCTCCTTCCCACCGCCCAGCTTCATGTTTGGGGCACACCCTGTCGGTTTCCTGGGTGAACCGRCTCTTTTCTCCTTCTCCCTGACATCAACAATCACCCTCTCAGCACCCACACACACAAACCAAAAGTAAAGATCAAGCTTCAGTTACCTGCTGTCCAGATTATGTTCAACATGATCCTGGYAAATGATCTTTAATTATGGTCCTAAGCATGCAGGCTTGGACTGTTCCTCCTTTGTGCATGTCTGTGTGCTGGTTGTCTCTGCATGTGCACGTGAGAGATTAGGATTTCTTGCCAGAAGAAGAAGAGAGCATGAATATAAGTGAGTGTCCGAGCAACCTGCCCTAAAAGTCTGGCTTTCATTAAAGCTCAGACAAAGAGAAAAGGATTTCATTAGTTCAGCATCAGGGCTGACTGAAAGGAAAACAGTGTCAGTCAGAGGGAGCAAGTCTGGAGGCAACAACTGCAAAAACTGTGATTATTAGAAAAATGCAGGATCCTTTGAGTTACAAAACCATCACATAAAAATAAACATCAACACTGGAATGTTCAGGTATTCTGGAGATTTTTGATCAACAAGTTTGCAGAYGACTTGACTGTGATCACTTTAACCAACAAKAACAACGAGTCAATATACACAGAGRAGTGCAACAGCTACTAGACAAGTGCAAAGTCAAGAACCCATTTATGAACATGGATCAAACTATAAAGACGGTTAACAACTTCAGGAGACAACGTGACCATTCTCCACTGAACATGAACAAATGGTTTGAGGAGATGGTCAAGACCATACAAACCACTGATATTTATTTAGARTTGAACCTCTCTAGCATCCTCAACACAAAGTTCCATTTAAAAATCCATTAAGGTTTCATACTATGGAGGGACTATCAAGAGCATCCTGAGCAGCTGCAACACCACACAGGACCACAAAACCCTACAGAAAATAGTAAGAAAAGCTGAAAAAAATCACCGGAGTCTGTTTTCCCCCCATTGTAGACCTCTGTCACACACAATGCATCTATAAAACCACAGGTATATAAGAGGTAGAGGTGTACAAATACATGTGGATCAATATCATATACCCATCTGAGCATATTTCGCATCATATCAATCACAGACTTGAGTGTTCACTTGAATGGACAYCGTTTCATGACAGGTTTTGTGATTTTATCATCATCCACACAAATCGATATAATATTGTATTGTGATAAAGTTGGTGGTTTATACCCTTAATAAYGAGGACTCACTGCTTGAACACAAACTGTTTATTCTCTGGAAAGAGGTGCCAAAGCATCCAAGTCTTCGAGACCACGGTTTCCCAAACTTTTCAGCTTTAGACCCACAAAATAACAGGAGCAGCAGACCTGTTCTCTCAACTATTTTTGGTTAATAAACTGGGCGGTAAACTGGTTCGTACCGAAAATCAGTTTTTATTTTTGTTATGATACAAATTTTCTGAATACCTACTCCGCGGTTTACACGTTCGGAACATTACGTCACGACCGCCATT